GTTATCTACTTTTTTTAAATGGTGTAGTCTCAAGGCTAGGTAGTAATTTCCTAAAGGATGTTGTTCTGGTTGGTTTATGATTCTCCCTATGTGTCTTATTCTGAAGGATTTAATTTTGGTATTAATGTCGTGTACGGCTACACCCCCTCTCTCTTTATTTTGGATTAATATTTTCTGACTAACTTTATATGCCGTACTGCCAAATAAAAAGGGCCTAATAGCTTTATTTATGTTTTTAATTGCCTGCTTTGGGGGATCTATTACTGTAGCTATGTAGATTATTTTGGGTATTATATATGTATTTATTATTCTGCTTCTATCAAATATTGTGGACTTTCTGTATTTATATAAGTTTATTATATTATTTACGTCTGTGGTTAATTTGTCCCATGTTTGTGTGTGTGTTCTCCTTGGATTGTTTTTGAAGTTAATTCCGTATATTTTTAATGTGTTTGTATTTATTAATTCTGGCGGGAAATCTGATTTGTACCTCCAACTGCCTAAACCCATAATTTGTGATTTGTTGACATTTATTTTTGCCCCACTTGCCTTCCCAAATTGTCTAAAGGTATCTAAAATTTTAAGTATTGATGTTTCTTTCGAAGGGAAGAAAGCTGTGTCATCCGCATAGGCGATCAGTTTTCTTTCTCCCGCCCCGGGTATCTTAGTACCTATTATGTTACTATCTTTTCTAATTTTTTCTAGTAAAGGCTCTAGTGTTAAAACATATAGCAGTGGAGAGAGTGGACATCCTTGTCTCACAGATCTTGTAAGCCGAAAACCCGTAGTAAGTGTGTGGTTCACCAACACCTTACTCTCGGGTTCCCTATACAAGATTTCAATCCACTGTCTAAAACGTGGTCCTATATTATTTTCCCCTAACAATTTAAAAAGATATTGGTGAGATACTCTATCGAAAGCTTTTTCCTGATCTAAAGATAAAATGGATGCCTGACAGTTTATGTGATGTGTATAAGTTATTAGGTCTCGGATGAAGTGTGTGTGGTTGTGAATATTTCTATTTTGTACTGTGCATTGCTGATCTGGGTGTATCAGGGTTGTCAGGACAGGCTTTAATTTATTTGCTAAACTTTTGGCTAAAATCTTATAGTCTATATTTAATAAGGATATGGGCCTGTAATTTTTTAATAGTGTTTTGTCTGTACTGTCTTTATGAATCAGAGTTATGTATGATGTGTTAAAGCTATGTGGTAATTGTTGTCTATTGAAAGAGCTGTGGTATACTCGGAGGAGGAGAGGTCCTAGGATAGAGAAGAAATGTTGGAAAAATTCTACTGTAATTCCATCAGGACCTGGAGTTTTGTTTTTGTTCATTGTATTGAGTGTCTGTGTTATCTCTGCTAGTGTTATGTCTGCTTCTAATGTTTCTTTTTCATTGTCTGTTAATTTTTTGGTGTATTTCAAAAAGCTGTCTTGTATCTGAGTGTCTGTTGGTTCTTCTTTGAAAAGTGTTTCATAGTATTCTTTGAAGGCCTCTTTTATTTCAGTTGGGTCTGTCTGTATTTGTCCTTTTGTGTTTACTATTTTAGTTATGTTTTTACTTTTCTGTATATTGTTTTCTATTTTAATATCGTGTATGTTTGGTGTGTTTCTTGATGGTAGTTTTGTTTTAAGAGATGCTCCTGCGTACTTATATTCTTGGTATTTTTCCAACTGAGACTCCAAAATGTGTAAATGTGGTGAATGTGCGTCTTGTTCTTTGGTTAATTTAATTGCATCTATTATGTATTTCTCATTTGTCAATCTTCTTCTGTGTTGGGTGTGTGCTAGTCTCTGTGTTCTACTTCTGATGGAAATGTTGAGGTTGTCCCAAAAGTCTTCTATATTTGTTGCGGGTATGGTGTTAGTGTAATCTAATAGATGTTGTGTCATATAATCTACGTATTCCTCATCCTTTAATAGTGTGTTATTGAATATCCAGTGTGGTGATCTTTTATTGTGTGTTGTATGTGTGCTATTTGTGGTTATGTGTGCTAGAATGCCTTTATGGTCTGTGAATTGGAGTGTTTCTTCTAGGTGGGTTACCTCTATTATGTGATGTGATTCTGGAATGTAAATTCTATCTAGTCTAGCTTTGCTTGTTCCTCCTGGGTTTTCGTGTGTTGTGTCTGTACTTTTTGGATATTTACTTCTAAATGAATCTGTAAGATTATTTGATGTTATTATATTTTTGAGTGTGTCTAATTGGTATAGTGTGTCTGTTGCAGTTCGTCTTAACTGTGTCCGGACGTCTCTCCCCTCTGCATCTTCCTCTGTCAGGACACAGTTAAAATCCCCTGCAAGTATTATGTTTGTCCCTTTGTATTTTTGTAGTAGGGTGTTTTCTAACGTTTCGTAAAAGACTGGCTGGTATTCTTTTTGTGGAGGTGCGTGTATGTTGACTATTGTGTATGAGTGGCTACTGTTTTGAACTGTTATGATACATATGTTGCCTTTATCGTCTGTGTGTGTGTCTGTAATGTCCCACCTGTCTGATGTCTGAAATATTGCTGTTCCTGATCCCCTTGTTTGTTTGGCGAGATTAAAGACAGAGTTGTAAAGACCTAATTGTGATGTTATTCTTGCTGCCAGCCAGTTTGTTGTGATGTTTGCTTCTTGTATTAGTAGAAAATCCGGTTTGTGTTTATGGATTAAGTGTTTTATGTGGTGTATTTTTGTTCGTAATCCGAATATGTTGACACTCAAGATGCGTATACTAGTCTCCATTTAACAAAATAAATAAGGTAAATTTAAATTCTAAATATAAAATTAGAGTTTTAAAAACTTAAAAAGATATAGTGGAGAGTATCACATCAGTGTTCATCATATTACTGGAAAACCCGTATGAGAGTTTAAAAAGTCTCTTGACTTCCTGGCGAACTTGGGTTCCCCTGAGAAGAGAGGGTGGAGTCTGAAAGGATATCCGCCATGCTATCCTCCGAATTTCCGTCGGTGGACTCCGAAAGAGTCTCTGACAAACTGTCATTACTGTCATTCGTAGTTTCCCTCTCATCCTCGGTGGAGCAGATGATTGGTTCTCTGTCTGTGCAGTTTAGTTGTTGTTCATTCCCTCCCTCTGGATCTGGAGTTTTGTCGTTGGTTTGCGTGTCGTCGACTTTTCCAGCTTCCACATTTTCGGATGTTTCCGTTTGTGTTTGAGTTGCGTCGAGGTTTTCACCAAATGCACCAATCTTGCTGTCACGCACAGTCTCGTTGGTTGATGAGGTTTGTATCTCGGTGGTTTGGGTTAATGAGAAGGTTGTCGTTTCAGGGAAATCTGAGCTTGAGCTTCCTGTTTCAGTGTCTTCCGCCTTGTCTTTTGTGATTGGTTGTTTTTCCGTTGAGTTGAGGACCTTCTCTCTTTTCATTGGTTGTTCTGCCGAAGGCGATTTGACGGTTGGGCTGTCGTCTTTTTCATAGATCCTTTTGTTGTTTGTCTTCTTCTGACCTTGTGGGGACTTAGGTACCGTCGCCTGTGTCTTTCGCGGCGTCGCTAGTTGTGGGTACTCTTCCTGCCGGTAGGTGTACTCTTCGTCTGTTGGCACCTCTGTTTGTGAGTTGTACTGTTTGACAGTTTTCTTTGAAGTAGTTGCTTTCGTTTTTCTGATATGGTTTACTTGTTGGAAACCTTCATCATCATTCAGAGACTGTGTTTGGTCTCTGGTAGGGAAAGCTTGTTCTTCAGTCGTGGCTTGTAGGACATTTTCCCAGGCTCGGTCAGGTCGGCCTGCTGTGTTGTTGTAGGTTCTTCTTTGTTTGTCTGGACATTTATTGCTCCAGTGGTCTGTCTTGCCACAAGTGTAGCACGCAGTCAGTCGTCCTGGAATATTGATGTATACTTTGTGGTTCTTGTCGACTATGCCTGGTGTCTGGATCTGGACATAGTGGGGAATCTCTTTGTTGGGGGTGCAGCAGGCTACCCACCTTCTGTCCCGGTCAGTTTGTACAAACACAGTCGGGTTGGCGTCTCCGGTTATAATTTTAACCAGATCCTCTACTCCTTCTTTCTTCATGGTGTATGGAATCCAGTGGAGAAACATCCTAATTTTCTCTCTCCCGACTTGGTTAATCACCATCTCAACTCCTTCCGCCCTCCATTTCTTCCCATGTAGAGAATCTCTGAGCTCTTGGCTGCTTCCTCTAGTTAGGTTAAAATAAAAACGGAGGGGGGACTCGAATCGATATGTGTCCAGTAACTTGCCTTCGGGGATGCCCCCTGGGCCCAGCAAAGCTGCTCTTATGTAATCGTGGTTGGCTTTCTGGAAGGCTCCAGTGCCGCTCAATTCAAGAACAAAAGCGTCAGGCAAATGTACCTTGGTGTGATTGTACCTTGCCGAGTTGATTGGTACTAGTGGGATGTGTGCCATCTCCAAAGTTGTGTTGGTGAATAGTTTCAGAAAATTTTAAGCAAATCGTTACACAGATATATTTTTTTTTTTTTTTAAAAGTTTTTAAGTGTCAATATGAACGACAAATTTACAAAAATGTTCCGGTTGAAGGCAATGTAGATTTAAAAACACATATCTCACCGGTTGGAATGTCCAATGATCAATCGAAATTGTCATACAAATGTAATTGTTAAAACTCCATTAAACTTGAAAAACGCATTGAAGAAACACCTTAATTTGAAAATACAGTTCAGTATAACACATTGTCCATGAAATGAAATGAACTCGGATTGAATTGTTGATCCTCCGAGGTAAGCAAACTAAGAAAACCGCACAACGCAACAATGAGAGGTAAGCAAACTTGCAAAATGCACTTCCTATATAATTTTAGAAATTTACTGGTATCCATCTTTATAAGGGGTGGGTCAACTATAGAATATAGACGTACTGATGGGGAAACGGTAAACAGCGACGACTAGTTTTCATGATTCATTAATACTGGACTCTATTACTATTATGATAATTCAACGACATTGCAGCGTATGTAACAAATGTCTCAAACTATTAGAACGTTCAATGACGTATCAAACAGAACTAGCTTGTCTGACTTACTCTGGACATTGTTTCAGGTTTATTTTGAAGCACCAATTTATGATAATTTCATATCGCGATCACTTGGCCAGGGGGAGTCGACGACTAATGGTTTCTCTGAGCTCGGGAGTAATCTCCCCTTATACCTCGTCAGCTTCTGGGTCGTGGATATTGATTGTATCGATACTTCTCTTTATCAGCAGCGCTGCTAGAGGAAGAAGAAGAAGGAAACTGGAACATGTTGTGACCACTTTAAAGAGAGACAGAGGAGCACAATACGAAAAGATTATTGACAGCTTTCTGTCATGACATGAAGGGGTGTCAACACATCAACTCATACACGCTGTTGCAGATTGTCGGAAAGATACTTGATGATGGTGATGAGAGGAGGAATAATGAACGAACAGATGTATCTTCGTTCTTCTTCTTCTTCTTCTTCTTCTTCTTCTTCTTCTTCTTCTTCTTCTTCTTCTTCTTCTTCTTCTTCTTCTTCTTTTTCTTCTTCTTCTTCTTCTTCTATCAATATTTACAAATTACTGGTAGTGTCTTCGAGTGCTGAAGGTCCCTGGTTCAGGTCCGGGTGAAAGCTGATATTTTTTTACGTGGACTTCTAGTAATTTTCCCTGGTCTCTGGAGAATAAGATCGGACGCCAGTGTGTATACTTGCGCACGTAAAAAAATCGATTGGCAGTTGGAAATCGAAAAGAGTAGCCTAACAACGCTTCCCTGGCAAAATTTGGAGTGAAAAATCTACCCAAAGTATTTCAGGATCCTCGCCAGTGCTACGGAGTTCGTGCACTGAGCTGAATTTTTTTGTACTCAGGCTTGAGTCAGAAGTAGAACGGAGCACTTACGGATTACCCCTTGTGCCATTGATGTTGATCAGTTGTCTTAACCTAAAGCTATTTTCTTATACGGATTTGAATGTTGGGCTCTCACTGTGGAAATGGACAGGAGGATTCAATCTTTCGAATGTAAATGCTACAGACGCATTTTACGAATTAGTTTTTTAGAACACAGAACTAATAAATATGTCTTAGACAATAATACAATTTTGCGGGACATAAGGAGCCTCTCCTGGCAGTGGTGAAGCGTCGCAAGTTATCTGGGTTTGGACACGTGGTGAAAAATGATTCGGGGGGGGGGGGGAAGGGTTGTCGTAGAAGAGAGGGCAAAGAAAAACCTGGAATGACAACATCAAGAAATGGACAAGACTAAGTTATCATACACTTATTAATCAAGAGGAAGACAAGAGAAAGATGGCGGGTTTTATGACCTAGTGCTTCCATCAGTACACCTCCACGACCCTAATGGGTCAAGGGTTTTGTTATGTACGTTACACTGGGGATATTAGTGAGTTTATCACAATATAAAAAAAAAGCAAACAAATAATTAAATGGATCGACAATTAATGTAAGGAAAAAATTTATAACAGGTATAGTGGTATAGTGTAATAAGATTTGTAATACTGAACAGTAACAGCTGGGGTTATTGTCCTTGAGCACACAAATCAGTTCAGAAAAATCAAGGAGTTCTCAAATGATGCATCTTTCTCTTTTAACCCGTACAGTAGAGCGTCGGTAGTCATGTTTACTATTATTATTATTATTATTATTATTATTATTATTATTATTATTATTATTTTGGCGCAATTAAACACAGCTTAAGCTTCAAATTTTCCAGTGGTATGGGCCGAAAACGCTTTTTGTCTTGTTTAAAAGCGCAACAATAATAGGGTATTACTATCATTGCACAGTTAAACAAGGTTTTTGCCGTCCCTAGCATTAGAAACTTATGAGGACAGGTTGGGGCCCCCCCCCCCCCCCCCAAGACATTTTCGTAAAAGGAGATAAATCACGTTTTATTTTTACTTTTTGAAGTCGGGGTACAACTGCTGCGACGCGAGGAACCAACAGCCTGCATACAAACAAGCCAAATCTGTAACACGGATGTGCACGTACAACTTATCTTATTGAAAAATACAAAAGTCTAAAAAGACGGACCAACAAACAGAGCCCTCCACAAAAGTTTAAGGCAGGAGAGTGCTAAGAAGACTTTGATCGACCAGGAAGGAATTTATTGCATAACACTCGTTTATGATCACATCAGATTGAGACCTTCGTTTGATCAAAGGGAAACAACTGTTGAATTAAAGTATGTATTTATAATATCGAAGTTTTCCTTCCTCAGTCATAGTCATGTTTATTATTATTATCATTTATTATTGTTTTAAAGTAAAAAAGTCAAGGACCCTTTTCCACGCCTTTCATGCGTATTCTGTTTATAGGGCTATACCTAAATTTTATAGACCAAACGGCACTTGGTGGTTGATGTAGTCAGCATCACACCGGCCGCCTTTACTTCCCAGGACTGTACTAGGTACCCACTCAAGGCTGGGTCAACCTGGGAGCCAAGATCATTTTTGGAGGAAAAAAAATCCTGCCATCGTCAGGCATCGAACCCACGCCTTCCGATTCGATGCCGAGCGTCTAGCCGCTGAGCCACGGTGGCTCCCTATTATTGTTATAGTTTTTATTTTTTATTATTATTGCGCAATTAAGCACAGTTTAAGCTTCAAATTATCCAGTAGCGTAGGCCCCAAAAGGTTTAAGCCTTGTTTTATTGCGCAATAATAAATGCCTCATAAAAAAGGTAATGAACAAAGGTCCTTACCGGCATAGCACTGCAGATTACATCTGGCTGGTGTATCTGTTATGGGTGTCCTAATTATAACTTCTTTAGAGACTGAACAGGCTATGTAGGATCTGCCTAGCTGGTCTGCCATCCAAAAGGAGATTCTTTAATGTCAGGATGGTAGGTAAACCTTTAAGTAGCAGACAGCAGGGGACAAACCGATCCGTCGATCGATCAAAACCAACAAATTTTCTGTCTTCTGGGAATTATCTGATAAGACAAGGCAGTGGAACCGACCTTAACATCTAGGTATGATGGATTAGAATATGTGAAGATGTAAAAGCTCACATCCCAACAGCAAAATCTTTATATCTTATATTATTCTTTGTTGATGTATGTTATATTTTGGCAGCTGAGTTAAAAAGTCGAGCTGTGTTTACTTCTTCTTAGCGTTCAGCGGTGTAAACTCTAGTGGGAAGCTCTGGGTGTTCGTGTTCGTCCACTTCTGGACTATGTACTTGCTTAAGAACTTGAGTTAACTATAGCTTTCGATTTTTATGTTGTCTAGTGTGTTCTTCTATCTTTCTATTTCTTTTTATGAGTGCTGTTCACAATACTTTCTGTTACTTGATTAATTCTTAAGAACTTGAGATATACGTGCACACCCATTTTACAGAGCAAGCTTTTATGTATGCAGTATGTTGGTTACTTGCGTCTCAGGTGGGTGCACTTCGATTTAAAAGGATAGAACACTAATTAATAGACTTTTACGACATGTTTATTGGAGTGGGGTGGTAGGTTTTTCGCGCAAAAATGGGGCACAGGAACCCATACGGAGAGACACCGCACTGATAGCAGAAAACTTACCTTGTAGGGAATAACGGTTGGACATTGTGGGTGGAGGAATTCTAGCCTTGAAAAAACGCGCGTGTGCGAGCGCACACACAAACACACACACAAACACACACACACACATATACAACAGTATTTTAACACAAGAAACAGATAACACAATTAGGCATTAGTACAACATAAAAAGCGTTGATCTGTATCATGGTATGGGGCGTCGTAGGTCGGCCCAGCCTAAAATGGATACCAGGATGGATGTCCTAGGGAAGTGAAGACGGCCGGCGTAATGCTGACCACATTACCCACCTACTGCCGAAGGTCTATAAAATTATGGATACTCTTCCCATATGCCCGATGCGCCTAAGGCGTAAAAAGGGATCTTTACTTTGCTTTACCCACAACAAAAGAATTTAAAAATAAACCAACGATAATCAAATATTCATAAATTTAGAAGGAAGATGTGTTAACACGATTGAAAGAGTATACGCAAAGTTAAAAGGCTGCATTTCAGATTAAATGATTACTGTTTAAGAATCGACATCAAAGCTTACCAGGCTTTCTAACATAAAAAGACATCAGTAAAAAAGTAAAAAAGTAAAGTCGGGAGTTGTGAACCAGCGTCATTGCACACGGTTATAAACCATAAGTGCTCTGCCACTAGTACAGACAGCTGATAAAACACTGTCCGCCTGCGTCGCCATCCGCACGTAACTCTGTAGCTACAGCGACGTTCCTTCATTTACCCAAAAGTGTCACTCTGGTAACCGTTTCGTGGAAGCTAGGTGAACCCCGGAAACCGCCCGGTTTCGAACACCGACCGTGGCTGCAGCGAGTCGCAGCTGGATTTGAAAGCGAGCCTCCTATCGACTGCGTTAACGCGGTCCCCATCAGTAAAAAATCAAGGGACTGGGAGCTTAGACTCTGGAGACGAAACTAATTCACACAACAGACCAGTTTGATCGCTATATAAAGAAAGAAATTAATGATATTTCCCCGAAGTCGGAGCACATCTACCCGACATGCGAAGAATCAACACCCTGCATACAAGTAGGTCAGGTGTGCAAAAACGAATGTGCACGCAAAATTCCAGCCCTTGAACGAGACTAACACCCAGAAGTGGAAGAATAAATAAGATTTTTCGCCGGTGTTAACAGCCAGTAAACACTAAGAAGAAGAATTATGATACGCACTGGCAAGGCAACGACAACTTTTAAAATCATGAATAAAATTTGGAACTCTAAATTATGTAGTTTCTTAACCAAGTTACGTATTTTCAATTTAGTATTTCTTATTGTAATTTTAACACATGTAAGTGAAAGTTTGAGAACCACTTAAGACCGGGAACGAAATTAAATGCATTCGAAAACAAATGCCAAAGGAAACTAATGTACACTGATTGACAAGAAAGGCGAAGAAGACAGAAAAATGTATGGATAACCTCTTCTATTTACAGTCATCATACAAAGAAGATGGTGATATTCTGGGCACATCCCTATGGAAAGCGAACAGGAAATCTTGGCTTGGCTTGCTTGGAAAAAATATTTACA